GCCCACCTGCAGCCCCGTACCTGGTGGTTGTGGCGCTGGATGACTTCCAGGAAGAGCGTCGGCCGGTCCTGCATGGGCTTCGTGAAGATCTGCAGGAGGTAGCCTTTCTCGTCGTAGTCCACCAGGATTTTCAGCTCCTAGGTGCGAGAAAGGGGTGCACTGGGGGAGGCCGAGAGAAACCCTAGCGCCTCCTTTACCCTCAAGCCACCGGAAAAAGCAAACGAAACAATTCTCCAGCAGCTTCAGACTCCTTCAGATAAACCCCTCAGGTGATCCTTTACTGCCCTCTGCTGTGGAGGTGCGGTCACCAAGGCTGGCCTGGACACCCTGGTTGCCCTGCGTCCACTCCCGCCTCCCTCACCGTCCAGCCTGTCCGTAGACCTCAGGGGGACTGAAAGGCCAGGGCAAGAGTGCCCCTGTTAAAAACCCTCCAGTGGAAACCAGGCCCCACACGTTGCTGGTGGGAACGCAGACTGGTACAACCACTTCGGAAAACCATCTAGCAGCCCCAGGAGGTCACTGCCTAAGCCAGCAACTCCACTCCTGGAACTAGATCCAGAGTCAGACACAGCCACAGAGACCCGCGTGGGGAAGTTGAGCACTTTCACCCGGCCGGGAGGCACCGGCACTGACACCCGTGATAGCAGGGCCCCCACGTCCCGTGGACACACGGTGCTGAGCTAGAGAGGCCACCGGCCTTGGGGGCTCCACTCAGGTGAAGGCCCGAGGAGGGAAAGTCTGTGGAGAGCCGCGTTGCGTAGGGTTGGGGTATGTAGGGGGTGAGGGGTGTGCTTAGAGAACGGGGCTGGATGAGCAGTCTCACTCTTCAGAGTGACGAGAATGCTGTCAGCACTGTAAGGTTAAGAGGGAGAGGGGAGGCAGAGAGGGCCGAGGCGGGGTGGTGGGAGCACCAGGTAAGCAAGACGCCCCAATTCAGCAAGAAAAACATTCTGAACAGGCCGGAACGGGGCCCTGGGCACCCAGAGCCACGACACAGAGCACGCGCGTGTCTGGGGAACCGTGCGTGGAGGGAGAGCGCTTCTGGCTGCCTGCACCAATGTGCACCGCATGCTGACTGGGCAGCGTGCTGACTGGTCCGAACCACTGGCTGGGTCCTTCAAGCGAGTGAGTGACCTGTGTTTCCTGACTTACATGCCGGCACATGAAAGGTGCAGGTGCCTCCCGTGGTTGTTGGCAGCAGAAGAGCAGAAACGAAGTGCCCAGGCCCGCAGGGGCCTGGCGCCTGCCGCCGCACCAGGGCACCCTGCACACTGGGACCTGCTTCTGCCTCGGGCCTCTGCACACACCGTCCTCTGCCAAGCCCACCTTCCCTGCCCCTCCTCCGTCCACGCTCTGATCCGCTCACGCCACCTCGGTGACGCACGTCCTGCCCGGCGGGCTGGTGGCTCCCTGACTGCATGCACTGCAGTCAGTGGTCGGCGACTGTCCAGGACGCAAGGGTCTGGCTGGGTTCTCCCTGAACCCCAGGGCCCAGGTCAGGGCAGAGGCTCAAGAGCAACTCAGCCTGGCGGCCTCGGGCTGGTTCCCTCGGACGGCGCTGCGCGGCCCTCACCTCCAGGACGTCGACACTCTCCTTCACCTGGACCTTGGCCGACTTGAGGTTCTCCCGCAGTTGTCTGTAGTAAGTGGAAGGGACCGCCAGGAACTCCACGCCCCTCTCTCTCAGGTGGCGAATCTGCCCCGGCCAGGGTCTGGGTCAGCCTCCACCGTCTGGTCGGCCCTGCCCCCCACGCCAGGGGCCGCTGGACCTCCCCTGCCTTCCTCACGGCACCCGCCGGCATTTGGGGCCACCCTGCTCATCCAGGCGCCCCAGCATGCGTGTCTGAGCCCAGCAGGCCACGCGGAGCGGGAGGCAACTGCCTTTTGTCAGAGACCCGCCGCCGGCCACTGCCCCCTGCCCCGACCAGCGTCCTTGGCTGCCCCCAGCCCTGCGGGTCCCCGCTGTCCCTTGGGCCCCCGTCCCGCGCTTGCACTTCTTTGTCCCTGCACTCCCGGGGGCCCCCCCGGGGACCTCGGCGACCGCTCAGACTCCCCACCTGGAGCCCTGCTCACTCCCGCCAGTCCGCAGGTGTGGGGGTGTCTGTGCCCCCATGGAGGTGGGGGGCCCGGCTGTCCCAGCACCGGCCTGCCCAGGGCCATCCACACCTCAGACGTTTAAACCGGCCGAGGGGTATCGCAGATGTCAAAGCCTGCGATGCTGGTGTGGGGGTGCTGAAGCTGAAGCCGACGGCAGTTGAGCCCCCACAGGTCCCCGGCAGCTGGGCCTGGCGCTGGGCGTGGGGCGGGCGGCTCCTGGCTGGGCACCCGCCTCCAACCCAGCCCGCCCCTCCCTCACCCCGAGCGGCGGGAGGTCAGGGGGCAGGGAAGGGGCCCTCACCGTCTTGATGATGTCCTGCGTCTTGAGGGCGATGTGCTGGACTCCCGCACCCCCGTTATAGTCCACGTATTCCTGCGGGGGCAGTCGGCCGCTGTCAGCGCCCCGCCCCCGGCCGCCCGCCCCCCCTTGGCCGCCGCGGGGCCGCACCTGGATCTGGGACTTCTTCTTGCCGGGCGCCGGCTCATTGATGGGCATCTTGATGGACTCCTCATAGTTGGCCACCACGATGGAGCGCAGGGAGCTGTACTCTGTGTGCACCTGCGTGTCGTCCACCGACCAGAAGCGGTGGAACTGCAGGGTCTTCAGGTACCTGTGGGTGGCCCAGGGGCAGTCACTGGGGCAGCGTCCACCTCCCCGGGTCTGTGCCCGGGGCAGCACCTTGCAGCCACGCTGCTCCTGTGGTAGGGCCTGTGGCGGCCTGACGCCGCTCCGTACTCCTCAACACTGGTTTGTCTTCTGCGAACAGCGACTGGGGAGCAGGCCGGGGGGGGTGAAAGGGCGCCCTGAGACAGTGGGGAGCAGAGCAGGGGTCCACCGAGACCCCTGCCGAGGGAACACGGGAGGGGCCTGCTGCACCCCGGGGTCCCTCCCAGCCGGGGTCCACCTCAAGCGTGGTGGCTGGGCCCGAGACTGACCGCACTGGGAGGCCGGGCGCAGGGCCGGGGCCGCTCGGCTGGCCGCAGCCCCCAGACAGCGCCCCGGGCCGTCCCCCGAGGTGAGGGGCCGTGGCTCTCCCCGGGCCTCGAGCCCTCTGGTGGACCCCGGGGAGGCCTGGCTGACCGGCCCGGCCGTCCCGGGCGGCCGGCGGGACTCACCACTCGGCGGCGGACAGCATCTCGTGGTCAGGCTGGTTCCCCACGATGTGGTCGACGACCTCGAGGGAGCAGCTTGGCCTGCGGGGGAGGCGGGGGGCGCCCTCAGCGGGCACTCGGCCCCCCAGGCCCCCCAGGCCTCCCAGGCCCGACCGCACTCACAGCCTGGCCAGCAGGGGGTCCACGAACTGCGGGGCCTCGAAGCCGGGCAGGAAGCGGCCCGCGTAGCTCACCTTCTCCACCAGGGTGTGTGTAGTGTCCCCGTACTGAGCGCACAAAGTCGGGGAGACCTTCAGCCCCGTGCATCCCTGGGCCCCACCCCAGGTCTGGCCCTCAGGCCGCGAGTGGCGCCTAGACCGCTGTCTCCCCCCCAAGCGGGACGGCGGCCGCGTCTGGGGAGCCCTGTGCCGGGCCCCCAGGGCTGGGGCCGGCCAGCGTCCCTTGGCGGTCCGGGTCGCAGGCTGGCTGCGCCCGACTGCAGGTCTGTGCTGGGCGGCCTGGCGGCCTGGTGTGGACTCACCGTCTGCAGCACAGCGAATTTGACCTTCCCGAACTTGTCCTCCTCCACCCAGGGCTCCCGCAGTACCGTGGCCCCGCGCTCCCGGGCTTTCTGCAGCACACACGGGCGGTTGCTGCCGCAGGGGCCCCCTCGCCGCCCCGCTGGGCGGTGGGGCGCCCGGCCCTGCCACCTCATTGCGGCCGGGGTGCCGGGTCCCCTCCGGCCTGCAGGACAGAGGGCCACGCTGGGCGGCCGGAGCGGCACCACGTGTCCAGCCCGCGCCGCCCCACCCCGTTCCCCTCCCCCCCTAGTCCAGCGAGCCCAGCCCCGCCCGCAGCCACCCGCCTATGCCCGGGCCTGGCCGCGCTCACCTGCACGATGGCATCGCAGTCCTCCACCTCGAACGCGACGTCTTTGACCCCGTCTCCGTGCTTCACCAGGTGATCGCCCATCTCTAGCCGGCGGGCGGCTCGGGTCACCGCTGCGCCCCCGCGCCCCCCCCACCCGCGTGCCCGGCCCGGTGTCCCAGCTGGCCCTCACCTTTGTTCCAGGGGTTGAGGGCCGAGGAGAACACAAAGACAATCTGGGGGCCAAGGAGAGGCACTTGGGGTGCGGCCCTCCCTGTCCCCGAGGCCCGGGCCACTTCTCCTGCCGCCGCCCCATCCAGAGCCCCCGAGAGCCCGGGGAGGCCTGGATGCTGGTCCTGGAGCCGGCCGGCGTGCCGACGGGTGTCCAGCGGAGGGCCACGAGGTCAGGGCCCTCGCCCTGCCGGGGCTCGCTGGCTGCAGAGCCCAGCGGGGGGAGAGCCCAAGGCTGGCACTCACCTTCCCTTGCTTGACCACATGGCTGACCACCTCCCGGGACCCCGTCTCCAGGCCCCTGTAGGCGAGGGGCTCAAAGCCCATCTTGTTGCAGTAGAAGGACGCAGCCTGCGTGGGGCAGAGGGTTGGTGCCGGCGGGCGGCGCCCGTCGTGGAGGCGGGGGCCCATCCCTGGCTCTATGCATCTGCCTACCTGGGGCACCCCAGCAGCAGCCTGACCCCGGGGCCGGTGCACCCCGTGAGTCCCCCCTGCTGGCACACCCCGTGAGGCCCCTGGGCTTGCGCACCCCATGAGCACCCCCCACTGCTGCACCCCAGGAACCCCCCAGGCCGCCGCACCCTGTGAGTACCCCCTGCGCACCCCATGAGACCCCCAGGTTGGTGCACCCCGGCCCCCCCAGGGCTACCGCACCCTAGGAGACCCCGCAGGCCGTCGCACCCCGTGAACACCCCCGCACACCCCATGAGACCCCCAGGTTGCTGCAGCCCAGCCCCCCCAGGGCCACCGCACCCCGGGAGCCCCCCGCTGGCGCACCCCGGCCCCCTGCCTGGCAGCTACCTGCTTGGCATTGCCAACCCAGAAGGTCACGGAGTGGAAGTGCAGGAACCGGCCTCGCTCGGGCTGCGGGGACAGGGCCAGGCTGGAGGAGCACCGCCTGCAGCCCCGGGGCGCTCGGCCGGGTCTAGCTGCCTCAGACAGCCGAGCCGGGGTCCCCGGGGCGGCCACAGGCGTGGGAGTCGCAGGTAGAGCGAGGGGCCGCCCGGGGAACACGGCAGCGCCCTGGCCGCCTGCCTACCTTGACGCCTTTGTCGCTGTAGGACGTCTGAGGAGAGAGAAGGGCCGTGAGCCTGGGCGCCCGTGGGCCGCCTGGCCGTGGCGCTGCCGTGGCCACTTACCATGACTGGTCTGGTCAAACTCCTTCTGGAAAACCCGGAGGAGAGGCCAGCGCCGGGCGCGCCACAGAGTATATAACCGGGAGCCCGCCGCCCTGTCCCTGGGGCGGGTGGGGCTGCCCCCCCTCCCCGCGGCCGCCCAGCCTCATTGGCCAGGGCGGTGGGCCAGCCCTGGGGTGACCGAGCCCGGCGGGGGCGGGCGCAGCGCCTGTGCGGCTCCCTTGAGGGCGATGTGCTGGACTCCCGCACCCCCGTTATAGTCCACGTATTCCTGCGGGGGCAGTCGGCCGCTGTCAGCGCCCCGCCCCCGGCCGCCCG